CAGAAACTTTCACAGTGGTGTTTCATCCAAAAAACAGACAGATTGTCTTTATCTTTAAGATGCTGTCAGTGAACTTCAGTCTGTTTGTGACTTTGTTTCTGCTCACAATAAGAGGTAGGTGAGATCATTAACATTAAAAGAGCTTCATTGATAAAAACCTTTAGATCATAAAGTTACAGAGTTATCTCTTCCTTTAGGTGTCAGCTGTGAAGAACTCACTGCAGTCAAGAAACAAGAGTCCAGTTTAGAAGACAGCACTGTTACTCTGTCCTACAAATACTCCAGAAAAGCAACTGGTAGTGATCAGTTTTACTGGTATCGACAATATCCAGGAAAACCACCAGAGTTCCTCATCTTTCACTTGGGAACACAAAATGCAACAACCTCTAGACTGTCAGTTACAGTGAGTGAGGATAAAACCCAAATGGATCTGCAGATCTCCTCTGCTGCAGTGACAGACTCTGCTCTGTACTACTGTGCTGTGAGGCCCACAGTGACAGCAAACCCACAGTCTCTGTACAAAAACACAAGCTGACACACTGACAAGCTGCTGGAAGCCTTTTTTCCACACTGTTGGACTCAACTTTTTAGCTCCACTAGAGGGCGACATTATCAAGTAGGCGGTGCACTACTTCTGCACTGTGTTCAACCATTCTGTCAATAATAACTGCTGCTGTGAAGAGAACAATTGTCACACTGAATGTTGAACATCAGCTAGTTTCTCCTGTTGATTTAAACCTTGTTGTAGAGATGGAACATTGGCTGTGGATTATTCTTGCTGCTCTTTTCTTTGGTAAGATAGAAAGCACAACATGTTTTTATTCTTTTCTAAAGATTGATGGAAACTGGAGTTCAGAGCAGAAATCTCTCAACAGTTGAGCTGTTTCTGTCCACAGAGTAACACTGTACACTTGATATTTTCCACTGTATTCTCCTCTCAGCCTCATGAACAATGTTAGTCTAATGGCTTCATTTTCTCCACTTTTTCCAGGACTAATAGCTGGAGACACAATCTCTCCTGTAGGAGATAAAGTCAGTGGAAGAGAAGGAGAATCTGTCACACTCAAATGTCAATATGACACAGCATACAGAAATATTTACCTTCACTGGTACAGACATTCTGAGCTTCAGGCTCCTCAGTTTATACTCTGGAAAGGAGCAAAAGATAACACAGGTCGTGAATATATTCCAGATAATCGATATGAATCTAAAACAACACCTACATCAACTGAACTGACCATCAGAAAACTAACCCTGGCAGACACAGCTCTCTACTACTGTGCTCTAGAAACACAGTGATACAAAGTGTAGAAGAGGCTGTACAAAAACCTGAACACAGATATCTGACTACTCTTCAAAGAGGAGGGAAGTGGTATTCAAACCACAGCTTCATATCATATGGATTCTGCTAATTCCTGTTTTATCAGAGTCACTGTGGTTACAGCTGCTAATGAAACACTGTGGGAGGATTCACATGAGCAGCAAATCCACATCAATGACAAACCAACTGGATGATGCTTCAAACACAAGACTCCATGGAAACAAATAAATCAACACTGAAAATTAAAATGAGTAATATGTGACATCTGAACAACAATGTGTCCGACATTCAATCTTTTAAATAAATAATAATAATAATAATAATACATTTTATTTATAAGCGCTTTTCTAAATACTCAAAGACACTTTACATAAAAACATAAAAGCAGCAAAACAACATCAAATAGTAAAACACTAAAAACACATCAGACTAAGCTAAACGTTAAAAGCAATTTTAAAAAGGTGAGTTTTTGTCAGAGATTTGAATGTTGGAAGGTCGGTACAGTCACGGATGTGTTTGGGGAGAGAGTTCCAGAGGGAGGGGGCAGCTTCAGAGAAGGCTCTGTCGCCCCAGGTTTGGTGCTTGGTCCTGGGTGGTGGAGTCAGGAGGCTTGCATCAGATGAGCGGAGGCTACAGGATGGATTGTGGCGACGGAGCAGGTCAGTGAGGTAGGAAGGAGCCTGGTTATGGAGGGCTTTGTGTGTAAGGAGGAGGATTTTGAACTGAATGCAATGTGGAACTGGGAGCCAGTGGATGTTCTGGAGGACGGGAGTGATGTGATCACGGGTGTGGGTGAGCATACGTGCAGCAGCGTTTTTGATGTACTGTAGCTTATTTAGAGTTTTGGATGGTGTGCCATAGAGGATGCTGTTGCAATAGTCGATTCTGGAGGTGATGAAGGCGTGGATGAGGGTTTCAGCAGCAGAGAAGGAGAGTGATGGGCGAAGACGGGCAATGTTCTTGAGATGAAAGAAGGCAGTTCTGGTGATTTGGTTTATGTGATGTTCAAAGGAGAGGTTATTGTCAAAGATGACTCCGAGGTTGCGACTGTGGGGGGATGGAGACAGGGTGGAGTTGTCAATGGTGAGGTGGAAACTGTCTGTGGTTTTGGTGAGGGATTTGGGGCCGATAATGATAAGGTCTGATTTGTCACAGTTGAGTTTGAGGAAATTGGAATGCATCCAGGATTTGATGTCGGTGAGGCAGTTGGAGAGAGTGGAGTGAGTGGATGGGGTGATGGATTTGGTAGAGATATAAAGCTGGACGTCATCAGCATAACAGTGGAAGTGGAGACCATGGTGGTGAATGATGTTGCCAATGGGGAGCAGGTAAAGTATGAAGAGGAGAGGACCAAGCACCGAACCCTGGGGGACGCCTTGGGACAGGGGAACAGTGGAGGAGGTGCAGTTGTTGATCATCTATTCCACCCTTTGTGGTTTCTCTACAATGAGTTTGAACATCACACTGCTGTGAAATGAAAGAGAACTGAATTTGAGTCTGGAGGCCTCAATGGTGGAGTTAGTATCCAATCCAATCCAATCCAACTTTATTTGTTAAGCACTTTAAAACAACCAAAGTTGACCAAAGTGCTTTACAGGAGAATAAATAAGACATCATAAATAAAAGACATAACAGCTCACATGAGGCGCAAAATAACATATAATACAACAATAAAATGAAAAGACATAAATAAAAATAATAACCATGCAATAACAAGCAATCAAAAAAATAAAAATAACAAATACAAAAAATAAATCAAGTAAATAAAGTCGACATCTTACTAGGTGTCAAAGGCCACAGAGAAGAGATGGGTTTTAAGACTGGTTTTAAAAACAGACAGAGAAGAGGCCTGTTTAATGTGCAGAGGCAGATCATTCCATAATTTAGGAGCAGACACAGCAAAGGCACGGTCCCTTGAAGGAGCTTTCAACCAAGTGTAATGGTTCAGGGTTCATCCAAAGAGAAAGACTGGAGTGGTTTCTGATAAAGCATTAAATAACTATGGGGAACACTATATTGTGAAGCAGCAAGAACCCTGAACAAGAGACTGAATGAACAACAGAAACAGACAACATCAGCTGTCTGAGAACTCCAGACCAAAATCAGTCACAGCATTGACTGGGAAGGAGTCAAAGTCATCGACCACAAGTCATCCACCACACTGTAAGAAAGTAAAATTAAAGTAAAATACCCTAATTCAAATAATGTGTAAAAACATTAAATTTACAGGAAATTACATTAAAATGTTTACAGAAAAATACCGTTATTTTACAGATTTTCGCCAAATAATTATGATCAATCACCTTCAATAAAGGGACAATGCTAAAAGTTCTGCAGGAAAATATTATTATTTTACAGATTTTTGCTAAATTATTACAAGATTTCACCTTTGAAATGGATGGAGGAAGCAACAAATTGTGTTGTTGAGCTGAGGGAGTTGTGGTCTTCTTTATTCTCCTAACCCTTGGGGGCTCTGTATAAGGTAGTTCTGATAACATCTGTGGAGAAGCATTACAGTCTTTTAATTAAGAATCCTAACTATACAGTGTATTATTAAGTAAAATGAAAATATACCACAAAGGGTCAATGAATCTGTAACAGAGGTACAACACAGCAGAAAAAGCAGAAAAATCTGAATCCTCCTCCAAATTGGCAGAAATCGTCTGGATCTTTGATGCTCCTGGAGGGGACACACACAGAGAGAAACTATTACTGAAAGGTCTTTACTGTAAAAAGTAGGATTTTATTTATAGTTCATTTTAAATGAACACTGCTGGAGTTTCACAGGAAATCAGTGTTGTAGCATTTTCCCAAACAACTGCAGAAAATAGTGACTACGTTTTAAATGCAAAAAACAAGTGAAGAATCCTCAGGTTCTGAGCTCTGCACTGTGGTCAAGCAAACCCACACCCACAGATCAAACAGTGTGTACGTCAACGCAGCTCCCAGCTAAGAAGCTACAGTGAAGATTTCTGCTCAACACATGGTGTAAATGACGACTTTTCAGGTCAACTTGGCATGTCTGGACTTTGGAAAACTTGGATTAGGATAGAGAAGCAGTATGAAGGCCTTTTTATGTTTTTGTAAAGTTGTTTTTTAACGTTTGAAACAAAGCCGCTGTTGACTACAGCTGTTTGGGAGGATGCAGCAAGCTGTTTTCATGTGAAACTCCAGGAGTGTTTTGTGAATTGAAAAAAATAACCTGACCTTCTTTCAGCATGAGGGTTAGGTAATGACTGATTTTTAATTTAAAGTGAACTACTCTTTTAAACAAACTTCATTTAAATTGATGAGACATTATAGTTAAAGGCTTTTACTCAGAAAGGATGTTAAAGTGGCCATTGGACTGCAGAGCTATTTCCTGGATAACTTTGGGGAATGACTAGCCAACTTACATTACTGTGTTACAAAGACTACTGGCCAGCATGATGGGAAAGTCATAGAAAACAGGGATTCATGTTAATGTGTGGAATGGGATTCATGTTTGAACCACTATGTACATTTTCATATTTGAAAGAAGTTGTTTAACCATTGTTAACCATTCGGCACCACTGGATTCATACACAGCATAGATGAGTACAATATTGTTTGTCTTTGTGCTGACAAACTGGCAGTAATATGGCCTCTAGTATGCACATTATCCATTCACAGTCTTTATCAGGATAACATGAATACTCACTGGCTCTGAAGATCTTGTGGCAGGAGACTTTTCATTTCCAAAATGTCTGGATCATGAGGGGAAAACACACAGACAAACAAACAATATTAGCCAGTTTACTGTTGGAGACATAGACATGCAAAATATTACCCAACAGCCTCACACATACATTCATTCTTACATAATATCTTATTATGACTGATGTGAACTTGGTTTCATTCTCTGTATGTTTTGCCTCTGCTTGCCGACCTGTCTCTGGGTTTAATGCTGCACCCCAGCAGCCGGTGATATCTTGTCACTCCTGGTTCTTCAGCCTTCTCATGATCACACAGGTGATGCACACCTATAGGTTCTGACACAGTGAAGAATATGGTAAATGGATTGTTCTTGCATATATAATGCTTTTCTAGTATTATCAACCACTCAAAGCACTCTACAATACATGTCTATCATTCAGCCATTCACACACTGATGGCAGGCTCTACCAGGGAGCCAACCAGGACAAGATTAGCCTAAATCCTCTAACAGTTACACAATGTTTGTGTAGGTTAACATTTTGGATGTTATAACAAGGTTTTAATGGGAAATAGTCACATGTGACCATCTAAAGGGAGGGATAGGCAGGGAACGGGACAAACACAAAAGATTCCAGTTAGTTCTAATGAGCATTACATTACATTACATTAGACCAGTCATCTCTCTCTCTCTCTCTCTCTCTCTCTCTCTCTCTCACACACACACACACACACACACACACACACACACACACACACACAGTTATATTTAACTCCACTACTGACAAATCATACAGTTTTAATCAAGTATCTCCATAAACTGATTGACAACCCAGACTCAGGTTTTGATTGCTACTGTCTTTATATTTACTAAATTCAATTCAATTCAATTCAATTTTATTTGTATAGCGCCAATTCATAACAGAAGTTATCTCAGGACACTTTTCAAATAGAGCAGATCTAGACCGAACTCTTTATAACATTAATTACAGAGACCCAACAGTACCACCATGAGCAAGACCTTGGAGACAAGGGCAAGGGAAAAACTGCCTGTTAAAAGGCAGAAACCTAGGACAGATCCTCCGGCTCTAGGTGGGTGGTCGTCTGTCTCGACCAGTTGGTGTGAGAGAGAGAGAGAGAGAGAGAGAGAGAGAGAGAGAGAGAGAGAGAGAGAGACAGACAGACAGACAGACAGACAGACAGACAGACAGGGGCACAGCAACAACAGTATTGGCAATGGCAATCTAGCAGGACCATGGCAGGAGGCTCCACCAGGATCGATAAGAACCTGCGAGACGAGAAAGCACAAGAACTCCGGGGAAGAAGTGAAGTTAGTAACATGCATTAATGTGACATGAATGAGTGCAGAAAGAGAGAGGAAGAGAGGAGCTCAGTGCACCATGGGAAATGCCCCGATAGTCTAGGCCTATAGCAGCATAACTAAGGGATGGTTCAGGACTCACCTGATCCAGCCCTAACTATAAGCTTTATCAAAGAGGAATGTCTTAAGCCTACTCTTGAATGTGGTGAGGGTGTCTGCCTCCAGAACCACAACTGGAAGCTGGTTCCACAGGAGAGGAGCTTGGTAACTGAAGGCTCTGGCTCCTGTTCTACTTTTAGAGACTATAGGAACCACAAGTAGCCCAGCATTCAGAGAACGTAGTGTTCTAGATGGGTAATAGGGTACTATGAGCTCTTTAAGATATGAAGGGGCCTGACCATGAAAAGCTTTATAGGTGAGGAGGAGGATTTTAAATTCTATTCTACATTTTACAGGGAGCCAATGCAGAGAAGCTAGTACAGGAGAAATGTGATCTCTTTTTCTAGTTCCTGTCAGTACTCGTGCTGCAGCGTTCTGAATTAATTGGAGCGTTTTAATGGACTTATTGGGGCAACCTGATAATAAAGAGTTGCAGTAATCCAGCCTAGAAGTAACAAATGCATGGATTAGTTTTTCTGCATCTGTCTGTGATAGTATGTGTCTAATTTTTGTAATATTACGTAAATGAAAGAAGGCAGTCCTAGAGGTTTGCTTCATGTGGGAATTAAATGACAAATCCTGATCAAAGATAACTCCAAGATTCCTGACAGTGGTGCTAGAGGCCAAGGTAATGCCATCTAGAGTAACTATATCTTTATACAGTGAGTCTCTAAGGTTTTTGGGGCCAAGAACAAGAATTTCGTTTTTTTCTGAGTTTAACATCAGAAAATTGCAGCTCATCCAGGATTTTATGTCCGTAAGACATGTTTGTAATTTAGATAATTGATTAATTTCATTGGGTTTGATTGATAGATATAACTGCGTATCATCTGCATAACAGTGAAAGTTAATGGAGTGATTCCTAATAATGTTGCCTAAAGGGAGCATATATAAAGTAAATAGTACTGGTCCAAGTACAGAACCTTGTGGAACTCCATGACTAACTGTAGTATTTATTGAAGATTCATCGTTAACATGTACAAACTGCGAGCGATCTGATAAATATGACTTAAACCAGCTTAGTGCGGTTCCTTTAATGCCAATTTGATGCTCAAGTCTCTCTAAAAGAATATTATGGTCAATGGTGTCAAATGCAGCACTAAGATCTAATAATACAAGTACAGAGACAAGTCCATTGTCAGAAGCAGTCAGAAGGTCATTATTAACTTTAACCAGAGCTGTCTCTGTGCTATGATGAACTCTAAATCCTGACTGAAAATCCTCAAATAGACTACTGTTATGTAGAAAGTCACACAACTCTTTGGCGACTACTTTCTCCAGAATCTTAGAGAGGAAGGGGAGGTTAGAAATCGGTCTATAGTTGGCTAAAACCCCTGGGTCAAGAGTGGACTTTTTAAGAAGGGGTTTAATTACAGCTACTTTAAAGGACTGTGGTACATATCCTGATAATAAAGAAAGATTAATCATATCCAGTAAAGAAGTGCCAATTGAGGGAACAACTTCTTTAAGCAGCCTAGTTGGGATCGGGTCCAACAGACTTGCTTCGATGAAGAAATGATTGAAGTTAACTGATGAAGATCGATAGCAGAAAAACAGTCTAAATATATATCTGAGTTTACATTAGTTAAAGTCCCTGAACTTAGAGAGCCACTGATAACTGTTGATGGCAGTTGGTGATTAATTTTTTCTCTAATAGTAATAATTTTATTATAGAAGAAGCTCATGAAGTCATTGCTACTTAAGTTTATGGGGATATGTGGCTCAATAGAGCTGTGGCTCTCTGTCAGCCTGGCTACAGTGCTGAAGAGGAACCTAGGGTTATTCTTATTTTCTTCTATTAGTGCTGAATAATAGGCTCCTCTGGTATTACGGAGGGCCTTTCTATAGGTTTTAAGATTATCTTGCCAAATTGAGCGATGTTCTGATAATTTGGAAGAGCGCCATTTCCTTTCAGATTTCCTAGCTATTTGCTTTAACTGGTGGGTTTGGTGGTTGTACCAAGGTGCTAGTCTCCTATGTTTTAATAATTTCCTTTTTATAGGAGCGATAGAGTCTAATGTTGATCGTAGTGAGCCTGCAGCACTATCTACCTCCAACCTCCACAACCACAGCTCCCAGTACCTCCAACCTTCACAACCACAGCTCCCAGTACCTCCAACCTTCACAACCACAGCTCCCAGTACCTCCAACCTTCACAACCACAGCTCCCAGTACCTCCAACCCTGCTGACTAAGACTGGTTTAAACTCCAACTTACGACAAACAAACTTTTTGCACAACTACTTATATTTAAGTTGCACATTTCATTTTTAGTGTAGGTGGACTCTTCACAAATTTAAGAGACTCTTCACAAATTTAAAGGGATTTTTGTCGAAGCCTGTTCTCTTTTGCTCCTTCCTTCTACATTTCCTCAAAAGGTTTTTAGCTCTCCTCAGTGATGCAAACCTACTCTGGATCTCTCCCTGCAGCAGGTTTATGTCCTCCTTCTCCTCCTCAGTGGCCTTCCTCCATTGCTTCTTCAGCTGCCTTCTCTCTTTGATGATCTATTTCTGTCTGCCTTCTGGACTTGATAGGGATTGACGGAGTAGATCGCTTGCTTTAGACCACTCCGAACATTTCTACTCCATAGGCGTAGATTAGATCCCCCATTTTCCCCAACTTCTTGATGGTGGTGCCTCTGATCCCTTCTAGGATGTTGCAGAGATCAGTGTTGACCTCCTTCCTTGTGTCTTATCACAGGATTTTGGCCATTTGACTAATGGCATTTGCCCCTGGATCTTCTTCTCTGTTGCAGGTCATGATGGGTTGGGTTCAGGTTGCTCTTCTGTGCCTGGTTCTTCCTCCTGAGGGACAGGGATGTTGATGTCCTGCAGACTTTGGTTTGTGTCCTGCTGCTGAACTTCAGTCGACTGACTCGACCTGCTTCTGAGAAAGTAGCTGTCGATGCGAGTTCCCTGTTGACCCTTCTTCAGGCACCTTTTTATGCCTTGATGTATTTTAAGGCCTTTGGTGGAAGTAACCTTTTCCCAGCCACATATGCAGCTCTTGAGAGTGTGTCCTGCTGTAGCTGTTGGAGCCTCAGGTATGCTGATTGACCATCATTCTCGTAGTCTGTTCCGTTCCTGTATTCGTTCCCGGGTTGTCTGCAGACGAGTCATCTTCCGCCCCGCTCTCACTGACTCAAGGGGTATATTCCTCTTTGAACTTTTTGGTAGCCATGTGTGGGTGGGACCCGTACACCGTCTGCATTCCTGAGACACTACTAAGACTCTGTGGATGGTCAAGTGAGTGATGGCATCCTCTGGGTTATCAAGTGGGTGCCCTCCTTCCTAGATGTTTCGCTGATAGGCATAAAAGGTAAAAGCTGCACTGAAGCAACAAACACTGGAGAGAGAAACTCCCTCCAGACAGGACAAGACCAAAAACATTATAGTCTTTTATTTTATACATTATTATGTAAAAGAACATCAAAAAACATTAAGGAACAGCTTTGATGCAGGCGTTTTTGTTTCTTAATGCAATGCAAAATAATTGAATTATCAAGCATATATGTAATGTGCACTGTATGATCTAAACACAATACAAGTATCAGATTAAGGATCAGCAGATACTTAATATTTAATGACTCGGGGGCTAAAATCTATGATTGCGACATCTACTTTAGATCAAAATATTTCTAAAGACAACATCAGTTTTATTTTTATACATTATATGATTATTTTAAAAATTCAGTAGTCATGGCAGCTGGTTCATTAACTGTTGGTGTTCCAGACCTATTAATTGAGTGAGATTTGTTGATTCGCCCTGAAAATTCTGAAAAACGTCTGAAATCAAATCTGAGTGCACTCTCCATTAATGTTACACATGGCCATGTAATTTTTGACACTGAGCTTCCTTTTCATTGACAGACTTAAATTGTACTGTGATGATGATTTCCTCCACTTAAGAACAAAATTCTTATATTTACAAACCCTGAAAAAGGTGATCCATCCTTTAAATCACTCATGTAACTCCAGTAATAAAAGAATAAACAAAAGCCTTCCCACCTCCAGCTGGTAGAAAATGCTGCTACCAGTCTGTTAACCAGGAGGAAGAAAATACAGATCTAAGAGGAGAGGGAGAGATTCAGGGAGGAGCTAAGCTGTTACTGAACTATAGAAGAGAGAGGAACTTCCATATTCAGCAGAGTTCAATACACAAACCAGAAACATTACCTTTATTCAACATGCTGTCACTGCACACAACTTTCTCTACTATTACTCTACTGTACATCATAACAGGTATGTTGTTTCTGCATGGTGATGATGAAATTGAATTACAAAGAGTCTTTTGCAACACGAAATGACAGAGTTATCTCTCCCTTTAGGTGTCAGCTGTGAAGAACTCACTCCAGTAAAGGATGAAGAGTCCAGTTTAGAAGAGAGCACTGTTACTCTGTCCTACACATACAACAAACAAGCAACTGGTAGTGATTATTTCTTCTGGTATCGACAATATCCAGGAAAACCACCAGAGTTCCTCATCTCACACTCTGGTTCAGGAAATGTAGTAAATGAACAAATCCCTGGACTGAAGATTAAAGTGGAGCAAAACCAAATAGATATGAACATCTCCTCTGCTGCAGTGACAGACTCTGCTGTGTACTACTGTGCTGTGAGGCCCACAGTGACAGGAAACACCAAAACTCTGTACAAAAACCTGACAGCTCCTCACTGAAGATTTACACACTCCAGCTTCTGCTTTTACTGAACAACAGCCCCATCAAGTGGACACTGATAATAAGATCCAGTGATAAAATAAATAGTTATTCAGTTAACAGTCTGTCTTAAAACAACATTCACATGTTCATATGTACATTAAAACATGATTCTTTCTGTAATCATTCCTCCTGTTCACCCTGGTCTTTAAAATATATTTTCCTGATGTGAATTCCATCCTAGTGATGGGGGACAAACTCCATAGTCCTCGTTCTGTACAGAAATATATTCCAAAGTTCAGTTCAAGGTAATATGATGATTCAGCAGTCTGAGTTACACAAAAAAAGATACCATCTAAATCTTTTTGTGCAGAGGCAATTTTATGTTAAAAAGTCTTAAACTTTGGAAGAAACCCACTGGATCTCACTGTTGAAGTCTCATATTAACTTCAACTGTGTCTTCAGTTGAGGGGAATCCATCATCCTCTGTGAACCATGAATATCTGGATAAAAGCTCATGACAATCCATTCAGTAGTTTCTGAGATATTTCACTGCTGAATATAAATGAGATGTAAATGTTGAGAGTTCCTCAACAGATGATAAAGAGGAAGGACCAATGATGTGAAGGCCCAGATCCATCAGAGTATCAATGTTCTTCCTCTCTCTCCTCCCCTCTCACTGCAGACATGAAACACTGGCTGAGAAACATCCTGATTCTGACTCTCTGGCTAGGTAACTCTTTAAACCTACTGATTGTTCTCCTTTAATCAATCATCTTTATTGATTCATCTCTTCCTCTGCATGTTCTCTTCTTCCCCAGAGTGTAAAGGAGAAGACAGAGTGACCCAGCCACCCGAAGATGTCATTGCTACTGAAGGAGAGACAGTTACACTTGGATGTACATTTGAGACCAGTGTTTCCACAACTGCATATTTGTTCTGGTACAAACAGGAAGTCAATGACTTTCCTGTGTATATTTTGCGTCGTGATACTTTTGGAACAGAAGATAATGCTGCTGACTTCCCGAAGGAAAGATTTAATGCTGCAATCAACAAACCATCAGTTCCTCTGAAGATCCAGAAGCTTCAGCTGTCTGACTCTGCTGTGTACTACTGTGCTCTGCAGCCCACAGTGACAGGAAACACCAAAACTCTGTACAAAAACCTTTGGAGCAAAGACAACAGAATACTCCACAACATCCACTAGAGGGAGTCACACACTGTTAAACTTCAATGGTATGGGATTGAATGGCTGGTTTATGTAAAGGATAATGTCTGACAATGTGTCTACTATCAGGAATTAATCGACCATGTGTGTGTCCACAATGTCCATTCATTCTGTAAAATGGACACCTCAAACTGCATGAATCCACTTATACCATGGTCACTTTCCAATGAAGAAAAATAATCTGTATTTTATATTTTCATGTTTGGAATCAAAATCTAAATTATTTTACAAGCCCTAGTGTTTCCCTGGTAACGCCTGAGGGTTTGACTAATACCTGGAAGAATCATTACCAACCTATAAGGTTCTGATGCAACAAAAACAATGTTCACTACTCCAGTAAATAGGACGAACCATAGATACAACTTGGAAACTGAAGATATTTCTAGTTCCCTCTACTCAGAGAGCGCTTTGGCTCAGCTATGAGACAGAGAGCTGACATTATGATAGCAAGATTCTCAGTAACATTGTGTACGGTCAACAAACATTGAATTTAACATGACAGTATGTTTAAACACAAGCCTAGCTAGCTATCAGCCATGTCATTGTCCCCAAATCAAATCAAGATTTTCACCAACAAGAGGTCCTGTGGACTGACGGTTGCAGTCTGAAGTAGTGAGCTGAATAGCATATGGGATGTGGGAGGATCACTAATATAAAGTATCAATAAGTTCAGAGGGGCAGTTAAGTGTCCTACATCAGGAATTAATGGACATCCAGCAGCCAATCAGAATCCAGTATTCACTCCGACCATGGTATAAAACATGTGAAGAGCTGGTGTTTCAGATCATCGTACAATTGAGTTTATCTAGATTTTAATTTCCCACAAAATCCTGTAAAGCAGGTGAGAGCAAATATGCTGTCTGTTGATGTTAAACTCAGCATTCATAGTCTGGGTATAATGTTTGACACTTATCTTTCATTATCAGCTGACTTAAAGCATACAAAATGTATTTCTGAATATGAAAGAAGCAAACAATCTTCCTCTTTGGAGCTGAAAATCAACATTGTAGGTGATTTATTTTCAATTCAATTCAAGTTATGTGTCATGTGAATAACACTGTTTGAGTGTTTAATAAGTAATGGATGTGTGTCTACTGTAATTGAAGAGTAGTTTATCATCTGATTAAAGTAACAAGGACATTTTATTCTTTGTAGACTCTGTTGGCGCCTGTGGACAAAAGCAGTAGAGTTTCATTGAAATGATTTTAATTGAACTCTGATTTAATCTGACCCAGTGGCAGGAATTAACAATTTTACATGTAGAATGAATCAATCTAATCACTGCAGGTCTTGTATGCTTATGTTCATCATATAGATATGTCAGTCTTAAATATGGACTGTTTTATAACCAGTTAAAAGTTAATTATAGTAGGTTTAAAGATTGAACTCAGTCAGGACCTTCACGTGCTGTAAAGTGTCAATCAGTGTGACCTTATCAGCTACTTGTTACCTGATGGAAATGATGGCATTTAGTGAATAACAGCAGCACAGCAGTGACAAACACACTATTTGTCAGAGTTGTGAGAGGAAGGAGGGAGGGATTAAGGGAGGAGCGAAACTGAGACTCAAGTACAGAAAAGACAGAAACTTTCACAGTGGTGTTTCATCCAAAAAACAGACAGATTGTCTTTATCTTTAAGATGCTGTCAGTGAACTTCAGTCTGTTTGTGACTTTGTTTCTGCTCACAATAAGAGGTAGGTGAGATCATTAACATTAAAAGAGCTTCATTGATAAAAACCTTTAGATCATAAAGTTACAGAGTTATCTCTTCCTTTAGGTGTCAGCTGTGAAGAACTCACTGCAGTCAAGAAACAAGAGTCCAGTTTAGAAGACAGCACTGTTACTCTGTCCTACAAATACTCCAGAAAAGCAACTACTGAATATTTCTTCTGGTATCGACAATATCCAGGAAAACCACCACAGTTCCTCATCTCTCACTCAGGAACAGGAACATTAATGTCTAACCCAGTCTCTAGACTGTCAGTTACAGTGAGTGAGGATAAAACCCAAATGGATCTGCAGATCTCCTCTGCTGCAGTGACAGACTCTGCTCTGTACTACTGTGCTGTGAGGCCCACAGTGACAGCAAACCCACAGTCTCTGTACAAAAACACAAGCTGACACACTGACAAGCTGCTGGAAGCCTTTTTTCCACACTGTTGGACTCAACTTTTTAGCTCCACTAGAGGGCGACATTATCAAGTAGGCGGTGCACTACTTCTGCACTGTGTTCAACCATTCTGTCAATAATAACTGCTGCTGTGAAGAGAACAATTGTCACACTGAATGTTGAACATCAGCTAGTTTCTCCTGTTGATTTAAACCTTGTTGTAGAGATGGAACATTGGCTGTGGATTATTCTTGCTGCTCTTTTCTTTGGTAAGATAGAAAGCACAACATGTTTTTATTCTTTTCTAAAGATTGATGGAAACTGGAGTTCAGAGCAGAAATCTCTCAACAGTTGAGCTGTTTCTGTCCACAGAGTAACACTGTACACTCTCCTCTCAGCCTCATGAACAATGTTAGTCTAATGGCTTCATTTTCTCCACTTTTTCCAGGACTAATAGCTGGAGACACAATCTCTCCTGTAGGAGATAAAGTCAGTGGAAGAGAAGGAGAATCTGTCACACTCAAATGTCAATATCAGACTACTTCAGATTATATTCTCCTTCACTGGTACAGACATTCTGACCTTCAGGCTCCTCAGTTTATACTCTATAAAGGAGCAAGATCCTATAGTAGTGCTGAATATATTCCAGATAAACGATATGAATCTAAAACAACAAGATCATCAACTGACCTGACCATCAGAAAACTAACCCTGGCAGACACAGCTCTCTACTACTGTGCTCTAGAAACACAGTGATACAAAGTGTAGAAGAGGCTGTACAAAAACCTGAACACAGATATCTGACTACTCTTCAAAGAGGAGGGAAGTGGTATTCAAACCACAGCTTCATATCAGATGGATTCTGCTAATTCCTGTTTTATCAGAGTCACTGTGGTTACAGCTGCTAATGAAACACTGTGGGAGGATTCACATGAGCAGCAAATCCACATCAATGACAAACCAACTGGATGATGCTTCAAACACAAGACACCATGGAAACAAATTTATATATACACGTTTGTGACCTGAATTATGTATCTAAAGTCATCCCAGACTACAAACAGAAGAGTTTGGGGGCCTTAACCAGCAGAGTCACACTACCGGATGAGCTCAACAAGTTCTACGCTCGTTTCAAAGCCCTCAAATCCGGGCGACAGGGAGAGACTCTGGCCACTGAGGGAATACTGGACACACCACTGTCTGTGTCACCGGTAGAGGTGCGCTCCACTCTGAGGAGAACAAACCGACGGAAGGCAGCAGACCCAGATAACATCCCTGGGCGAGCACTCAGGGTTTGCTCATCAGAGCTGACGGAGGTGTTAACAGACATCTACAACCTGTCCCTCGCTCAGGCCGCGGTCCCCAACTGCTTCAAGTCCACCACCATTGTGCCCCTACCATAGAAAGACACTGTTACCTGTCTGAATGTCTAACGACCTGTTGCACTCACTCCAATTGTGATGAAGTGTTTTGGAAGGATAGTCATGACACACACACCCCTTATGGTTTCCATACAGACAGAATCGTTCCACAGATGCTGCTGTCAACGCTGCCACAGTGTGAGCTGTTCTGGATAAGAGTGTCAGCTCAATAAACACGTTTCAACAAATGCTACATTTATGTTTCAGAAACTGTGGAAAACTGTTCAATAGCTGTAAATCAAAGGGAAATGGGTGTAATATAGCAACTCTGTACTTTCATCTCATATCTTTAAAAATAAAACAAAGTGCACGTGTATATAGGTAGAGTCACTCAGATGGACATTTATTAAAGACAGTTGATTGGAAATAAAGTTTTCTCACGCCCCCCTGAATTTTAATACTATTGAGAAACTGATAATATTTATTTATCGGTACAAACCACTGTATGAGTTGCTGGCACCAGCATTCTGCATACAATCACCTGATTATCAAAATGGATTAATAAAATGAGCTGAGATAACGTCTGCAACAACTAAAAACAATTTCCAAGTTCAGTTTATTAACTTAATTTGTAACATTTAAACAAGACTGCTCAGTCTCTGTGATTCTCAAAACAGAGAAAAAGTGCAAATGATTCACTGGGATGTGCATTTTTATAGACTTAACACAGTAACATTCAAAACTTTTTTAAACTATAAACACTGGTCACTTGTCAGCTTCATCAGCTTATTCCTTTTCAAAAGATATATGACTTTTTAACATTTGTTTTTTTGTGCAAAATTTGCAACAATATCACTTATTTTTAACGTTTGTCTGTGAGTTGTTCTCGGAGGTCGTCTGAAATGTCAAATATACGTCTCCCGATTGTGTCACTGGAAAGAGGGACAGTATTCAGTGTCTCAGCACTTTTCTCACCTATGATTGTGACCATGTCCAATGCTGCCGGAGTATTAGCTCCTCTGCTATTGTGTGATGGTTTTTTTGCACCTTGCGATGTGGCGGTGTTTGTACGAGGCTAACGGTGCGTTTTTATTTAGGGTTATTTAGGTCAGTGCTATGGATTCAGGTCTATCTATTTTTGAATTTCATGTAAGTTATGACACAGCTGCACTTTTATTTTCTTTATTTTTGAACTTGCTGTTATTTGATGTAGATAGTTAGTTTGTATTTAGATACAACTTGTTACTATACTTACAGTCTAAAATTATCCATAGATACTATTGATAAACTCGGAGATGCTCTGTGTTAAAGATGATTCCACGTTCAGTAGTCACTCTAATTCAGGAGAATGATTCAGATCACTGCAACCTTTCTGTAACTCCTGTTATAAAAGAATCAAAATCAAAATGCTGCTACCAGTCTGTTAACCAGAAAGAAGGGTAACTGAGAGAAGAAAATACAGAACTAAGAGGAGATGGAGAGATTCAGGGAGGAGCTAAGCTTTTACTGAACTATAGAAGAGAGAGGAACTTCCATATTCAGCAGAGTTCAATACACAAACCAGAAACATTACCTTTATTCAACATGCTGTCACTGCACACAACTTTCTCTACTATTACTCTACTGTACATCATAACAGGTATGTTGTTTCTGCATGATGATGATAAAATTGAATTACAAAATTTTCTGGAATGATTCATTCCTTTTAGAGTCTTTTGCAACATGAAATAACAGAGTTATGTCTTCCTTTAGGTGTCAGCTGTGAAGAACTCACTCCAGTCAAGAAACAAG